CCGGCAGAGTAAAAGAGCGATGTGTGTTCGCTCGGTAACTTTTATTTAATTTATTTATTTATTTATTTATTTATTTATTTATTTATTTATTTATTTATTTATTTATTTATTTAATATACGTCAAAAACAGTTAAAAACTTTGCATTACGTGCTATGGCGAGAAGTGGAGAAGTTAATTTGAAGTTACATTTATGTTCATTTACATTAAAAAAACTGATGCGGTGGTGCGGTGGCTGAAACCAGAAGTTAGATTAAACTTCTGGTTTCAGCCACCGCATCACGTTCCCTAAAAAGGTCGTGCTCCACTCTGCGAGCGATGAAGCGAGTAGAAGCGACGCAGGCTCGTCCCAAACTGTCGTGGGCCTCTGCGAGCAATGAAGCCGGTAGAAGCGGCGATAGCTTCACAACCGCCTCGCCGGGCCGCAGTCGCGTTAAGCCGTGCTTGCCACAGAATGGGGCACTTTCGCCCAGAAAACACAGCTGCGAACTTTCCCAAAATTCAACTCCCGTCCTGCCTTGTGCAACATTGCCCAAAACAGCACTACCATCTTACTCCCTTTCCCCCTTTTTTAAAAATTTCCACTAAAATGTAATGGTTGGAAATAAAAATATGTTAATTAAGCAATGGTTTAAAATATTGATCTCAAACTTTTAATAAATTTATTTGACGATTATGAATTTGAGAGAAAATATAAAAATGGATCGCGCGCAAAAAAAAATAAAGAAGACATATTATACCCCTCCCCCAAATACGTCACCTACATTTTTAGTTTCTTTGACGAAGAATAAATAAATTAAATTAAATATGGACTGGATGGAGAGAACGAATCTGGGAAGGTACTATAAGATACATATACATATAACATATTTATAATATGTATCAAGAAAGAAGTCTCGAGAGTCAGGAGACGGATGACTGGAGATCAGTCGGGAGCTTACAGCTTGTCCCGCCTGGGGCGGTTCACTGCTGGCGAGAGATACCTGGATTGGGAAAAATCCCACACGCCGACGTGCATTTCAGCACCGGATATCACCATCCGGGGAAAGATCACTGAAAACTGCCGCCTCCGGTGAAAAGCCTGCACTGTACTTACGGGACTAATAACTATAGTAGTTGACGGGCACGGAAACAGGAATTATCAATCGATCTTACAAATGTAATGCCACTGACAGACTAATTACAACTATTTCTCATTTTACTTGCATGTAAAAGATCCTCAAGCCTAAATGACGCCTCTGAGCTAAATTCAAATCGCCTGTTTCTCGCCCAAGAAATACCTCCTTTCTCTGCTAGTTGGTGAAAGGAGCGTAGCGAAATTTGCGTGGTCAGACGGAAGAGCGGGCCTGATGGCCCGAGTCTCGCCACGTAAAATAAGGCAAATTCAATTCAATTCAATTCAATTTCTCATTTTTCTTCAACTGCCTTTTTCCTGCCGTTCTTATACAATTTCCTCTACTTTGGATCCTCCTCCCTTGGCGGACCCCTCGCACTATTTCCTTCCTGCAATCTTGGATTTACTTTTTTTACCAAACTTTTCTATTCTTATAACTCTGATAAATAGGGAGTCTCCTATAGAACGGAATTGAAAAATATAATCAGTATAACATTGCTAATTTATCTGGGTATCTGTAATCTCTGAGCCCACAGTATAACCAGATTTTTTTGGTGGAACAGCTGAAATCCTTCATTTTCATTCGAGAACGATTGCTACCCAAAAACGTAGGTTTCCCAAATAGCACCCCGTACCAAATCTATTCACTTACAAAAACATCGTACGTCCTGAAAAAAGCTTTAAAATATTGTCGCTTGAAAAAGTTATTTTCAAAGAACGGGTTTTGTAGGTGTATAAAAATTAGCTACTTTTTAAAATATTTTTATAATACATAAATTTTCTTTCTTGAGACTTCCCACCCAAATTTCAAATCGACAAAATTAAAGCACCAGCGAAATGTGCTAATTCCAGGGAACACTTCACTCGCAATATTGAAACATTTTTCCAACATTGTTATGGTACTTTACAAGAAAAACAAACATTATTATCAATGTTTAATTCCTTCACTTTCTTGCAGATACAAATCTTCGAATACGAAATATTCGAGATTACAAATAAATTATTAAGTTATTTAAAATAATTATTTACTGATTATATTTTAAGTTTTACTACTAAATTATTCTTTAAAATATTTAAATAACTTTTGTGAAAAGCTATCATGTTTCGAACAATGCTTTTAATATGAAGGTACAATAAGGAAAAGGTGCATTTTTGGAGCGTTGTCTAAAATTTTCGTTAATTATATAATAATAATAATAATAATAATAATAATAATAATAATAATAATAATAATATAAATATTAATAATAAAATAACTAGTGGTGCTACATAATGGCACACACTTTCCCGCATTAGTTTTCTATTTTCTTTGGTCTCGGTTAGCTATTCCAACTTGCCACATATTCTTGCCTACTGCCATCTATCGCCGCCCAAAGTACATTTTTTTGACATTTTCTTAATTTTTCGGTTTTCTAATTGTAGAGTGGAAATATTATTTTAAGATAATTAAAGAACAGTAAAACATCGTCCTAAATGGCAATTTTCTTTGAAACAGTTAGAGCCGTTTTTTAAAAACTGACGTTAAAGCGCTTGTGTAAATACGAAATTTGAAGCTCTTTTTCGCAGAAAACTTAATTTGAAGTCATTTTAAGTACTTCAACTCACAGATACAATAGTGTTTACAAATTGCTGGAAATGTGCATATCAACAGCGTGAGAGATCTTTTAAAAAAATTAGATTTGTGTAATTTTTAAAAAAATAAAAAATACACCAAAATTAACTTTACGTCATATTAAAGACTGCAATTACCACTCTCCTTTCGAAATGTTTGAAGAAAAAATTTGGAGTCGTTTTTGAAAAGAAATGGCGTTTGGGCGTTTCTGAAAATGCGGAGTTTTGAGCTAGTTTTTCAGAACAAACGGCAGTTTTCAAGAAACTTTATAAGACATTATTTAAAACACATGAACTCATTAATACAATAATGTGAACGAATTGCCGCTAATATAAATATTAACATAAAAAGAAAGCCGAAACAATTAAATGTTTGTAATTAAAAAAATAAAAGAATAGACCAATATGGCAATATGTCATCTTATAGAGTATATTTCGCACTATCCCTACCAAAAATTTAAAGAAACAATTTGGAGCCATTTTTGAGATAATTTTGTTTTTGTAATTTTTTTAAAATTGCACATATTCCACGCAATATTGCGCGAAAACTACTAAAATTTTCAAAAACATGTACACAGCCTTAATGAAAGATCTCACTATGGAAAACAAATTTTATTTGAAGGAAAAATTCCTATCTTTAATTATGTAGTTGTAGGAAGGCATCTAAAAAAATCATACTTTTGAAATTCTCTTATAAGAAATTTAAAGAAAAAATGGGAGCAGTTTTTGAGAAAATTTTGAAAATGTCCAGGGGGCTTCACGTACCCCCGAATTTTAAAGATTTTCTTTTTTCTTAATCTCAAAGATTCGACTGGAGTCAGATCGACACGGGCTTCTTCAATTTGGAAAAGTCCTAAGCATGGTTCAGGCGCTAGCAGTGTTCACAGACACTGGACGGACAGTCCGACGGGCAGACGGGCGGACGTTTTGAAACGAAAAACGAAAGAAAAGAAACCAACTTTTCGGTATCAGGGGGGGGGGGGCCCAAAACGTGTATTTTCGTTGCAATCTCGAAATCGATTTTCCGCAGCATTGCATAACTTTCTATATACTGCGTATATTACTCTGTATATTTACGTATACTGGAAAGTTAAAATAAACAAATCGAAAGCGCATATTTCTCCAGTGACAATAATAAATCACAGAATGTTGTCAACGTGACAGTTATTAATAATATGAAAATAATTCGCATAGTAAGCGAAACCTGTACAAATATTGGTATTCACAAAATTACAAAGACAATTGGATAAGTATTTTTTCTCTGCGACTTTGCATACTCTCAGGATGCCTTCAAGTATTTCCAGTTTCCTTAAGAAGAAATGCATGCGTACGAAAACAGCTTTGAATTATCAATTAAAACTAATTATTATATGTTTATTAAAACCTAAAAATAAATTGTTGTATTTCACAAATTTAGAAATAAAAATAAAACTGAACACTCGTTTAAAAAATGGCTATATAATGACAACACTAATTGTTTATCCATTCAAATAATTTGTTATCAACTTCCGGAATTTTTTAAACAATGTTCTTTTTTAACATAAAGCATCCAAATGTTATCATGAGCAGGTGGTTTGCAGATGCTTGCATCAGGTATACATAGTTCAACACGATGCTAGTACTTTAATTCACGTTCAAACAATTAATTACTGGAACAAAATATAGGGCGACAATGCGTAAATCAACAATTGAATAGTGACACATCTGTCAAAATTTCGATCAGCAACGCAGTAGCCCCGCCCACATTGTCACTCCTCTACTGTTTTTTGTCAACAATTACTTCAAGGACCAACGTGCCTTAGACGCTTCTTCATTGGAATCTAATACAAATCCCTCGTAATCTTCCTTAAAACTCTGAAACAAATTTGGTCCTCAACCTAACTCAATTCAAGAAAAAATCACGATCTCAAATACGAACACATTCAGGATGTCACGTATTTTGCAGTTGGTCGTCTTTGTGCAGCAGGTGTTTTACTGACACTACGCGCCCATTCTGTCAACACAATGCTGTCATAATTGACAGACTAGGTTTGCGGGATGCATTGGTGCACGGAAGAAAGTTCGGTGATCTCTGGCACACGCTTATGTAACACTGCTCAACTGTTACAATTAGTCGAAGACTGCGCAGGTAATAACATAACTAAACATTGCGTTTCGAAATAACAGACGACATATTTCATACTTAACCCAAAAAACACATAATTGATGAATGATGCAAGAAGCCTCAAGCAATTTGTCCTACAACGACCCTTGGAAATAATGAGATAAATTACTTACCAAAGTCAATGAACTGTTTAATGGACAGCGGTGATGGGTTGAATTGGGAATAAAAGTCCAACATCTTTGCGATATTGCTAAAAGTCGTTGTTGATATCCTCATTGTTGTCACGATTGTTTCTTCACAATTTTTGAAGAGAGTTCAGCCCACCCGAGATAGAGAGCACTCATGCACACGGCAGCTACCGCAGCTTCTTTGCAATTGTTGTCCCGTTGATTACGCTGAACATCATACAACACACGAGATTCTTCTCACAATACCGACAGTGCCTCTCCTCCGGCTGTCCACGGGTGCATATGGAGGAGCTTGTGTTCAGCTTGTGTTCGTGTTGCCCTGTGGTGGTGTGTATGTATACATAGATGCATGTATGCTATACATTGATTCCCATCCTTTTAAGTTTAATGATGTCGCTGCGCTATCTCTTGGCGTTTGTATTAACTACACTAGTACACAAAACGGCCGGTAGATTTCACGAACGCCCTGGCATAGCACCAGTGCACAGCATAGGCCACTGGGCGGCATCATGATGTTATTTACACCACGGGCAGCGTATAATAAGAAAATTTGAAGCGACAGGACTAAAACAGATTTTTTGCAGTATGGAGAGAGTGTAAAACTAAATAAAAAAATGTTTCTGAAATCTTCACACCTCTATGCGCTTCAAAATATTGTTCATGCTATGTGAGCCATACGAGCACATGCATTCATTCTTTTCTAGGATGCAATGAAATTGTCCCGGTAACTGGTAACTACATTGCTTCTACTTGTACTTCACCTGAAGTCACGCATAGCTTTTTAAATTTTTTATTCTCTACGATTAAAATATATGTCACATGCTTTTTTAAAAACTTTTTGACGAGAAAAAAGTAAATAAAGTGGCTTGATTTTTTGTGTTAAATAAAAAATAAAATATTATTTTGACAATTTTACTACATGATAAGGAAAACTGCATTTTTTTACAGAAGAAAGTTCATTAATCAATTTGAGTATAGAGAAGTGAAGCAGAATATCTAACTAATGTTTCGTGTCACAAACGTTTTTCATTACGGTTTATTGACCATTGTAGAAATCAAGACCATTGATGTCTAAAAAATAGTTCATTAATTAATAAATTAATTCATTAATAATTAAGTTTCTATATTTTGGTATCTGTCTTAATTTATACACGTTTATATTGTTTGTGTGGTGTTAATTAAATAATGAATTAATTTTGTTTAAATTTCTTTATTGTCCTCTTGCATTGTTGATTTGTCTTTTTTCTCTAGCCCTGATGAAGAAATTAAATATTTCGAAATGTTAGCACATCTAATTATTTCTCTACCCATAGTGACCAATCCCGTGAATTAATTTTATTACGGTTTGTGTTACACATTCCTGCAAATTCCTTTAAACCTACTTTAAATGACAACACATTATTTCTTATATAGTTATTAAAAAATGTTTCACTGACTCCAGCAAATGAGTAACGTTGGTAACAATGAGAGTGGGAAGTCTCTTGCTACTCGTTACTCTTTGAAAAGTCAGGTTAGGGTAGTCAGATTTTCAAGCTTTTTACACTTTGTCTTCAACAACATCGGAAATGAACTACGTTTTGGAACCGATAGGGGAACTTATGAAATTAAGTATCTGGTTTTTAATGGTAAATTCAATGTAAAACTAGTAATATTATTTAAATATTAAGTTTCGTTCACAGTTAACTGTGAGACAAGAATTAGTAATGTCTAACTTTGGTAGCCTACTTGACTTCACTGGCCTGTACGTTTCCGGTATACCTGAGAACTCCACTAGGATTCCACCACACCACATGTGACGAAAGGCGGGGGACAAGACTTAATCAGTTTTGCTCTATGGTGGTGGTGTCGACGGTGGTGGTAGTTCCTTGTGAAAATTTTGAGCGTGTAAAAATTGTGGACGATCGTAGAAGTGTATTTTAATAGACATGGCTGATTTAGATGACTTTTTTGCCAAAAAAGACAGGAAGAAAAGTAAGGGGAAAAAGTTCACGACCACAGATGAAATAGCCAAAAAATTGGAAGAGACTGGTAAGAAGCAGGAGAAAGCCAAAAAAGATAAGACTACAATGCAGAGTCAACCACCAGGAACGGAAACAGATGAACAAGGAAACGCAATTCAGGTAAGATAGAATTACCAAGAAAGACTGCTCTACTGGCCGGGATATGAGCAGCCATATTGTTCCATAATGCACACATGCCATGAAAATGTGATAAATAAGTGGCTTTATACGTGGGCACGTGAGCATTGTTCGCTAGAATTGTATGATGCGCAATTATGGTATTAGTTCTATTTAAAGATTTAGCAGAAGCTCCTATGAGAACTTGCAGGAAGCATGCATATGGCGATGCCACATTTTGGTGGGTCAATATTCCATTTCCTAAGTGTTTGCCGGTGTTCCACTTACGCCGGAAATTTCAGATGTACCCGTTTTTTGAAGAATTATAATCTCAGTACAAATATTATTTTTTGGGTCAGTTGAAAGTTTACGTACTCGTTTTGCAACCCTCTTGTGAATCAATGTAAATGTACTATAGTTAATTAGCAAAGAATAAATGCATTTAATCGCTACTTTCCATAAATTGTCGTGTTAAGTAGTATTTTAAATGTGCTTTTGTAGAAATATTCTTTACATGAATTCTTTATTGTACTTTTGAAGTTTGCCAATCTTTGTGGATATGAAGATATTTGATATTATGGCTCATCTGTTTTGTAGTGAATTTAATGATCAAATTTGAATGTATAAAAGAAAAGCATAAGTAATACAAAACTATTAAAACTCCATTAACTTTTCTAGTGTGTTGTGATGATGCATAATCAGTTATGTTCTCAGATGCTTCAATATATAATTATTTCTTTTGTGCATTGGGGCTTCTAATATTGTTAGGTATCTTGAAAAGAATAACAAATTGAGAGGTGCTCTGAAACATTCAATCTGTTAGCAGTTTGAAGAAAAAGCAAGATATTTAACATTAAAGTGGAGTCGAATTGCATGTACTTCTTTACAAAATGTGCTAGAATATAAATCCAATTTGGCAGTATTGATGATGATTTCTTGCTAGACTTTTCCTTATCACTGAAGGAAATTGTACGTCATTACAGTTTAATCTTTTCTTAGTAATATCAGCATGTTGTACAATAGAGAATATTTGTGGTAATTTTAACATATTTCTATATTTATTACAAAAAATTAACCTTTTAACTGAAGTATGTTTAAGCAATTGTCATTAGAAAATCATTATCAAAGTTAGGAAGATTTTTATTTTAATTTAATGACAGATTTACTCTCCACAGTTTTTATGTTACATGTCAGTATCTGCGCTTTTGTAACGGTGCATATGTTCTTGGTATATTTAAATTAGCTGTTTTTATCCTTTGTTCATTCATTTGAAATGGTTATATTTTTATGTTGCACATCTACAGGCTTCAAACAGATGATTCACTAAACGGGTCTTGAGGTACGATAATGTAGATGTTAATCCACGAGTATTAGTAGAAAATGAAATTCAATTTGGGTTATCTTGATTTATTCATTGTATTTCGTTGGAAAATCTTGGTTGGTAGTAGTAAATGAAAGGTGAAAGGTAATGCGCATTTAGAAGTGTCCGCAATGTGAGAGCGTGCGCCTGGCGTGGGCCTTTATTCATTGTATTTCGTTAGAGAATCTTGGTTGGTAGTAGTAAATGAAAGGTAATGCGCATTTAGAAGTGTCCGCAATGTGAGAGCGTGCGCCTGGCGTGGGCTTGGGCTTGGCGGGAGCAGCGTGCGCCATGAATGAAAACGCCAACGCCGTTGCGAAGTCGGGTCGGGTCGGGCCGGAGCTAGCGAGCTCGAGGTGGGGCATACGCAGGGCGAGCGGGAGGATGGAGTCCGGGGGCCCCTCTCCCTTCCTCTTCTCCGCCGGGCTCGTCGGGCCTGGGCGTCCGCTGCCGCCTGCCTGCACGTGCTGCGCTGGCCCCTTGCCGCGCGCCATGTGGAGGGCGGCCACGCATGCGGAAGTGCTTCCGTTGGGGCCAACTTCAGTCCCTTCGGCTTGTGCCGCTTCGCTTACAAAAATTTCTGCCGCTGTTGCTGCTATTGTGTGTTATTAAAACATGTAGAAGTACCGTCTGAAACTCGCTGTTATTTCATTGTCCAGCATAACTTGCTTATCGGATTGCGTCGGTTTTTCCCTACTGCCAAAATAGTCTTCCTGTCGAGATAATGATAATTTTTTGTAGTTGTTTGTAAGAGCCTTTCTGAATGTAGTTTCTTTCATCTTTGAACACAATTTTTTTCAAGTCTGTTCAAACCTCATAATTTTTCTTTCTTGTGTCCAAACCGTGCTGTTTGGGACATATTCAACAATTTTGTAATTATTTTTTCTTCAAAGTGGCTGTTTTTTTTAATGCGTTTTATGCACTTGCACTCGATTGTTAGGCAAAGTACTGGTGATGGTCATATTGACAATTTCTTACAAAATTTCCTATGAGATTGGATTGAGATTCGTTAATGATAGGGGGGAGCATGATATGCAATTCTTTCTCTAAATGTCTGTGATCTCATGGATCCATGAAGTTTCCAAATGTTTCCGATATTCACCAGTTTCAATAGGTCGTATTTTTTTTAGTATTTGCCTTTCAGCAATATTTTCAATGGTTCCATTATAATTGTTTTTATTTCAAAAGTTTTTGCCGTAGGAGTACTTCTGAACGAAGGTGAAACGGATTAGGGTCGAATGCCAAGTATTAAATTTTGACATTTCTAGAACTACACTTCTATTTCATGTTAAGAACTGGAAACGAGTGCTGACATTTATTTCGTAGGATACTTAATTTTAAAGCGCAAACCAGCCAAGCGAGAGAATGAATGTTCATTGCCTTGAAAACACGCGTGAAGTCAGAGCTAGACGGGCTGTTTTTTGTCTTCATGTAATTAGGTTGCATCATTTGCCTTGCATTCGACGGTAGTAAAGAAGAAAACACTGATACATACCAATATAACTATCGTTAACCTGGTTTGCTGGAGTTTCTTTTTAGTAGATTGAAACTTATTTAGAGTTTGTTTTGATGTGAAACGAATATTCTTTTCTCAGCACTTTTTTCAGTCTCCAAAATGTAATATATCTTTCAGAGCCCGTCCGGGAACAAAATTGTGAATTGTAAATTTTCTTTCTCCTTGCAAGTTGTCTGGTCTGGGCTTAATTCCGAGATAATTGGGAAAGTTGGATTAAAGCCGTTTGAGCGGCAGCAGATCCAAGGGGGTTGTGGTCACGACTCCTTTCCAAAACCTGTTAAAAATCGGTAGTACAAGAAAATGAAAACGCGCTGAATGCTTCCGAAACAAAGTGGATGTTTGCAGCT